ACTATGCAAAATTCATCCCTGACTTCTCTTCAAAAACCCATCCACTACGATGTTTGCTTCGGAAAGGAGAAAAATTATTTTGGTCAGCTGCTGCTGAAGCCTCATTTCTGAATCTGAAATCTGAACTTTGTAGTGATACAGTTCTTATTCCTTTCGACCCATCAAAACCAGTTATTCTCACAACAGATGCTAGCCCAACTGGAATTGCTGCAACACTCATTAATGATATCGATGGTCAAGAAAGACCAATTGCATATGCATCCAGAGCATTGAATCAGGCTGAAACCAATTACAGCAAATTTGATAGAGAAGCTCTAGCAATCATCTATGCAGTCACCCATTTTTACAATTACGTTTTTGGTAAAAGATTCACTCTTGTCACCGATAATGAACCATTGTCACATATCTTTCATCCAGGACGTGCCCTACCACGAATGACGTCATCTCGCTTATTGCGTTATTCTTCACTCCTCAGTGGTCTTGACTATACAGTTCGATGCAAGAAAGGGAAAAACAACGAAAACGTGGGAGTGAAAATTTAAAAACGTACGTTTTCATGTCCCTGACCTTTTACTTCGTAGATACTGGATTTTTAGTTTATTATTATGTGTTTTAATATTTTTTGGGACGGGGGCAACATGTTACACACATTTATTTGGTTTTAAATAGGTTCTAGGTATTTTTTTCGTATTTTTAAAGTCTCGAAATTCACGACCATGACGTGTCCCTAGGGTACATTTTCCAACTTTCACACTGTTTTTAGACTAATTATTCATGCCGAAATATATAAAGCTATATTTATATGTCATCAATGGTTATTAAACTTACAAAAAAGGAGCATGTTATAATTTTATTGTCATTACAAACTGACTACCATGACAAAATAAGTCTGTCCCTCGATTTGGCGTCACGACCATTTGGGAAAAATTTTCAACTTTGGAGCACGACAGTGGCAAGCCTGGCGTCGATGGAGTCAGTTGGTTTTAGAGACTAGTTCGGGGTGTACGTCAGGATTGTAGTGCCGGTCGTTTCGAGTTGAAAGGAGGAATTACAAGATTAATAAAGGAAAGATTGTGTTTTTTGTAATTTTGGTGTGTCCATGACCGTACGTAGTCATTCGATGAAGTAGACATGGTGTTAATTTTTGTTTATAAGATATTTCAATTGCTAGATTAACGTAGAAGTCCACTTTGTATCCTCGAACATGAGGTGCAGGGCTACCGCCAGAACAGAGCCAAATAACACGTAATTTCACGACCAAAGTTTCACGACCATCGCGGGTTTTTTCACGACCAATCCAGCATTATGGATTATAGTGTGTTTGGTCGTGACAATAACTTTAATATAATTGTAAATTGAACAGTTTAGTTCAATTGAAACACATATTTTTATTATAACTAACAGGATAATTGAAGGATTGTTTAGAAAGATTTAGATTATTCCAGACAATTCACGACCGTACCGCTTGTCCCTGACCATCACGTTTATGATTTCTATCATAAAAATTTCAAAAATTAAAATATCGTTATATTTCAATGTTTTATACACAAAAGAAGCACACCTCTATACAAACATAACGATTTTTCGGGTCTCAGGTAAGTTTCTTCGGAGTTATACAAACTTAAAAAGATTTTATTGGCTTTTTTTCAATTTTTTGAGTTTTTTTATTTTTTTCTAGAAAGACCAAATATACCAAAAGCTCAGTGACCTTTTTATTGTATAATGGTCATAAAAGTAAATTAGTTTATAGCAAAACATAGTTATAAAAATAATATTAACTATTTTTAATATTCATTTAAACGTCCATTATGGTCGTGACAGGATTTTGTGTTTTTCAACTAAAGATGCTCTTTTAAAAAGAAACTACCAAAGATATTGCGTTACCATGGACATTTTATGAAACTTCAAATGATAATGAAATAAAAAAATAATAAAAGTTTTGAAAAAAGGGGAAAAGAATTTGCAAAGTGCTTTTCCTGAAAACGTACGTTTTTAAATTTTCACTCGTAGACTGTTGTCTCGGAAGCCCAGTTCACTCATCAATTTCATCTGAACTAACATTCAACAAAGAAATAAACACAATCAATGCAGAAACCTTGCTTCAAATCTCCAGCACAGTGATAACCGCAGAAACAATCGAAGAAGAAACAGCAAAAGACCCTGAGCTACAAGTTCTTTTGCATGAACTGAAAAATAGTCGCAAAGATATCCCTTACATGACTCAGACAACATACTTTTCCGATCAGATCGAGTCGTAATTCCCTAACGTCTTCGAAATATAATTCTAAATGACCTTCATGAATCACACCTTGGAATTACTAAAATGTAACAGCTTTCTAGAAAATATGTAAATTGGGAAGGTATAGACAAAGAAATAGGAATACTAGTGAAAAGCTGTGTAGCTTGTGCTAAAGTTTGTCACAACCACCAATAGCTCCGGTACATCCATGGGATCAGCCCTATGATAACTGGGAAAGAGTGCATATTGATTATGCCGGACCATTGGATGGAAATTATTTCCTCATGTGTGTAGATGCTAAATCAAAGTGGGCAGAAGTTCGCATTCTTTGAAATGCTCCTTCCTCAGTGACGACCATGGCACTACTTGTAAACATTTTACAAAACATTTTTTATTTCAGAGTACTAATATTGAATAAAGATTTTATTTGATTTGATTGATTGATTTCTCGGTCCATGGGTACCCTTCGTTCTTGGTCTCGGACAGTGCAACTATATTCAAAAGTGAAGAGTTCATCAATTACTGCAAAGAACGTGGGATTTTCCTAAAACTTACCGCCCCTAACCATCCAGCAACAAATGGTCTGGCGGAACGAAATATACAAACTTTAAAGAGAAGACTTAAAGCTGCTGCCGATGATCCAACCCCAATCACCACAAAGCTACAAAACATTATGTTCAGATATCAAGCAACACCTTTGGCATCAGGCAAGTCTCTAGCAGAGTTGTATTTGAATAGGAAGATTCGGATTAGATTTGACACACTTCTCCCTAACCCAAAGGCAAAACTTACATCAAAATTAATTGCTCCTCTTAGCGTCCGCTCTCTTAATGTTGGGAAGAGGATTGAGGCGAGAGTTCAATCTGGGTAACGTCAGCATATTACGGGAATAGCACACCTATGTTTTTTACTTACACCATGCCTTAGTTCAGTATCATTGAATAGGCCTAACAAAATTAAATGATGACAACATATTGTTATTAACATTAATGTTATTACTTGTTCAATCCAATTATTGAATGATTGATACTTCATTTCAATAAGAATGAACTCCAATTTTTCGGCCCCACTCGTCTAACGGGACTCTATTCTCGCCGGTTTCCCCTAGCAGTTTCACGGGCCCCTCGGCCCCCCGCATTGCGGGCCCTGCGGGCCCTTCTGTTACGCCACTTCCTTTCTCTTACAAAGAAATCAAGACTAGACTTGGCAGTTCTTATGAGCGTGACCCAGCGTGGATGGCCGACACCAACCAACAACAACAAGCAAGCCCTCCGTACTTTCCTCAGTTAAGGAAACCATAAAAGTATTTGCCAGCTCATCGAGTAGCGGCAAGTAGCGGCCCAGAATAAATGGGAATGGGTGTACCCTCGGTGACATAAACCCTACCCCAGTTTCCTGGGGCCCGGCCTCCTCTGTTTGCCTTGTACCAGAAAAACTGACATATCTGTGGTCGTCTGTGGTAGAGCCATGCCTCACCACCAACTAGGGCCCAAAGGGCCTTTTCCCTGACGACACACCAAAGAGATCCCATTGTCAGTGTGAGGCACAAATCAGCCCCTCTGCACAGGTAGGGCACTCCTAAGGCTGTATAGTGCAGTGCGCGCTAGACGGAAAAGAAGGAGGAAAACACCCAAAACGGGTTTGAACAAATAAAAATAAAAATAATGACATAAGATTCTGTGGACCAAGCCAAAGATGAGAAGCAAACTTGGCTTCAGAGAAAGTAAGGGTCTCCCACCCCCTGTTACTCGCCTCTTACAGCAAGCCTGGGGAGGCTGGATTCTAACCCGGGACAAAGAATAGCATTGAGTTTGGAGCTATACAGAAAAGTAACCACACTACTTATAAAAACACTGAGAACATAAGTCTTTCATCGTTTTATTCTACATATTTATATGAAAAAAAAACATTTTTTAACTTGTTTATAAAAATTAATATGACAGTCAGAACGTAAAAGAGCGTTGTTTATGACTTCGTACAATATAAACCAAACACCAAAACTTAATCAAACTTCAATACAACATAATACTATATTCAGAACTACACATTATGAATTAATTTGTAGATTTTCAGAATTTTTTCAGAAAACAGAAACCCCAATTTGGGAAAAGACTCTAAACTCAAATTTAGAAAAAAAAATCCTTAGAACAGATGCTTCCCCAGTATGACCCTGTCCTCCAGTACAGCACACTACCACTCCACACAAAACTGACCCCCCTGATCAAGTAACCCGACCGACTTATATCAACAGCCTTATATCAATATAAGTCAGCACAACAAGTTATAGTTTAACAACACTTTCAGCCGCACAACATTGCCAAACATTTCCTTTCACAATATTTGACCCCTCCTATTACAATAGCAATTAAAATTTTATTAGTAGCCCTTGTCACTAGGGCTCATCAGGGCCGACAGCTCCAATCTTGATACAGACGAGTGAAATATCCTTGCTTCAGGTTGCGGCCAACGTGCTCCATCTATTGGTCTTATGTGATCTTTAATTACATCACCCCATAGAGTACAACTCTGGTAATTTAAAAAGGTGTTTGTGTACCTGATGGAGTGCTCTATGCCGCATCAAGTTGAATTGTTACATTGAGATTCGTAGAACACCGCCTACAACTTCTTGAGTTTTCAATGAATTGTAAAAAGTGTTGACACCAAAGTTAAAAGTCTATAACTTGTTGTTGGAGAATTTTAGAACAAATTTTGTAGGTAACTCTTAACTTTTTAATCAAATTTACTAAAAATTCTGTTTTAGTGAGAAAGATCTGCTTTTGAAACTGCTATTCAAGCGACAAGCAATCAACTACTTGATGGATGCATTAGAAAACAAACAAGATGATGCAGTGGCAAGTCTTCATGCTCTCTTTCATACTTTGAATGTGAAAAACCCTCAGCAACCAACCAACATCTGTTCTCATTGCAATGTCGGCAGTTTAAGGAAAGAAGGCACCATAACTTTTCTATTAGACGATGGCTCAACAGTTTCTGCAAATAAATCCACTCTATGCAATAACTCCCCTGTGTTTGAAGCAATGTTTCGTGGAGGGTTTAGGGAATCTGATCAAACAGAAGTTAAATTAACTGACATTTCTGCAGATTGTGTTACATATTTTTCCCGGATAATAGATACATATTGTGAGTGCATTCTTCCTAAAAATATTCAGACACTCTTAGATCTTATTGTTGCCTCAGACCGATTTCTCGTTCCGGATCTAGCAACGAACATTCTTTCTGTTGTCATGAATCATAGTCTAAGTTATAAAACGTGTTGTGTGGTATACGACTGGGCACTAAGTGTCGGCTACAAATATCCTATGCTTGGCAACATTGGCACGGATGTTGTCAAGTTTGCACTAACCTCCCCGATGACGCCCAGACAAAGGGTGGAGGCTATAAGTTTCATGTTGAAAGGTCAGCATAGAAAAGAGCTGCTAGAAGATATTTTAGATATTATTAAAAGTAAATTGTTTCATTAACTTTGACTTTTGTTAATTCAGGTATATAGCTTTAATAATTTCTCTCGTAGAAACCTAGTCTTATATAATAGCTACATATTTAACAAATGATTGTTTTTAACTAGATGTTCTAAAGAACTATTATTGTAAAAATAGGCCAATAGGTCAAGTAAGTTTCTTCTTCAATGTCAATGTAAAATTGCGGCTCTAAAACTTTAAAAATTTTGATAATAATGGAACAATCAGTTCTTTGTCTGATATTTGTGCAATAGGGAGATATAATTTGTCAATCATTTTAGCCTCTGGATTGCTTATTAGTCCAGTCAAGGAATGAGGTGTAGAGTGCGTGAGCAGGTAACTAAGCGATTCCTTCAGAAACTTGTTCAGGGGGCTTAGGGTGTTAACATACCAAAAGTCCTGACTCCTAGGTGGTGAGCCATGGGGTGGAGAGGGGAAAAAGGGGGGGGAGAAAGGTACGCATTTTGGGTTTTTTGATTATATCTCGAAAACTATCAACTTTTTGTATACTATAGTAAATTATAAAATTGAAGAAGATTAAATTTTCTACAAGAAAAGTATATAATGTGTTTATTTTGGTTCAACAGATTACGAGTTATAACTTATTTAATTGATATCTTATTAAAATCTTCTTCCATAAGAAATAAATGTAAATTAGTATGCGAAATGGGGCGAATCCTATCCGCCCAAAGGAAATATAAATGATATTCTGGAAATCTTGACAAAATTTCCAGTAATTTGACACTTTAATCATTAAAATTGATCCAAAATTAAGGCGAGGGCGAGGTAACAAAATTTCGAGTTTTGGTGTTTTTTTATTGGAAATATAAAAAAAAACCTTAAATCATCCCATTTTTAAACGCTCACCCTCGCTTTAATTTTTGACAAAATTTCATGATTAAAGTGTCAAATTACTGGAAATTTTGTCAATATTTCCAGAATATCAGTTATATTTTCTTTGGGCGGATAGGATTCGCCCCATTTCGCATACTAATTTACATGTATTTCTTATGGAAGGAGTATTTTAATAATATATCAATTAAATAAGTTATAACTCGTAATCTGTTGAACCAAAATAAACACATTATATACTTTTCTTGTAGAAAATTTAATCTTCTTCAATTTTATAATTTACTATAGTATACAAAAAGTTGATAGTTTTCGAGATATAATCAAAAAACCCAAAATGCGTACCTTTTCCCCCCCTCCACCCCCTGGCTCACCACCTAGGAGTCAGGACTTTTGGTATGTTAACACCCTAAGCCCCCTGAACAAGTTTCTGAAGGAATCGCTTAGTTACCTGCTCACGCACTCTACACCTACTTTTGGATCATTCATTGACTGGACTATATATATAATTAATTGATAGTAAGGTCTTACCTTAGCAATCCTATTTTCTTGATCCGAAATTAATTTCGGACCCGAAGGTCCATCATCAGTCGGAGTCTAAGTTGACCAAATTTCTATAGTAGAATCCACCTGTTGGGTTTCGTAGAAAGTTTCAAACATATAAAACAATACATATTATAGACATCACGAAAATAACACAACAATTAGGGATAAAAACCATGGTTTTTTAAGTGTAGGAAAACCTCACTTTAGTTAGGGAATACTTTGCCGGCAACAGGTGGATTCTACTATAGAAATTTGTTCAACCTAGACTCCGACTGATGATAGACCTTCGGGTCCGATATTAAATTCGGATCAACAAAATAGGATTGCTAAGGTAAGACCTTACTATCAATTAATTATATAATTTGTGTTGTGACAGGAGTCTCAAGTCTTTCCAGTTTGCTGTGTCCAGTCCAGTTCAGCAGTCCTTACAGTAAATAGTAGTACCGTAGTGATAATAAAGTGCATTACTGTGCTTTGCTTGATTTCCTGTCAATTTAAATCAAGTGACAAGTACCCAATACAAATACAAACCCTTTAAGAAACGCAATGCCTTTGTAAAAAATTCAGTCTGAAAATATTTGAATTTTCGATAGTTCCCGCAGTGGTTGCTAGGTAGACTATCGCGAGCGCGCGGTCAAGTCAGCTGACTGAGTGAAGGAGTGAGACAAAGAATCTGCTTAGAAACGTAGCAGTGGCCGCGCGAAGCTCAATTCGGCGGCAATATTCCAGTCTGACTATTCTCCAGAAGCATTTTGCTTCTTAAAGAGTTTGTATTCATTGCAAGTACCTGACCTTAAAACCATTTTAAATTATATAATTCAGTTAGGCCTAATTGAACTTATAATATAGGCTTTAGGTTGTACTTAATGATATTCAATCCTTCCAAAATATTATTGCAAAAAATATTGTACGTCACTCATCCAAAATGCGTTTACTGGATCCGTATGATAATTCTGCATTCAACTTAGTCGACCGGGGAAAAACCATACTTGTCCCAGAAACACCTATTTTCCAGACTAGTAGTCTAAGATAATATACTATTTTGCCACACTACTTTGTTTTTATGGACTTTGAATGCATTGATTTGTCTGGAAAACAGCTGTTAATTGCCTTCTTATTAAAATGGGCTTTCATTATGGATTAATGTATGGTAATAATTTTTACTGGCGCCAGCTGGTTAAAATTTTTTTTTTCATTATTGAAAACCTCATAGATTTTGGTAACATGAATAATGACCAATTTAACAAAATTCGCCCTAAACTCAATTCTAAAGATAAAATCACAACAATATTTGTTACTATACTATGTAGTCTAACATAAACAGTGAGTGGTTATCAAAAAAAACCTCTCAGAAAAGTTATTGGTAATGATGATTATTAAATCGCAAAGTCAGTGGGAACACGACTGTTTTATTTTTTTATTTTTTATTGTTACGTCTGTTTAAAGTAATATGGCAAAATATTGTTGGTCACTTATCCAAATTGTATTTAGCGTACTTGTATTTTTATTGGGAGCAGCTACACTCCTCCGGTTAAGGCTTTTTTTCCTGACTATATTTTAGCATTGGTATCATATTTTGCCTTCAATGTAACCAGGCAATGATAAACCGTTGAACAATGAATCATTTCTGCCTGCACTACCCTTATAGTTTTTTTGTAATAGGAATGTAAAACACTTGTAAATGTGTCAGAATACTCAAATATTTTCTAGTTAACTATATTTTTTTAACATTTGCTATCAACAATGTTTTGCTATTTAATGTTAAGTAATAGATCTGGTTATTTGAAAAACTCTTCTGTAATTTTTTTTTCAATAAATTTCTTTATAACCTCCACTTGGTACCATGTTATATTAATGTTAAAATGAATCTACAGCCTAGATTTTAGTCACATACTTCAATATTCAATATCCAAGCATTCAAATGTCCTTTTAGCAAATTTCCCATATACAGGGTGAGTCTGCTAAGCTGTCCTAAACAGATTACAGACGAACGGCTTGACATACAGAGATGAAACAAAACTTTTCCCTACTAATTCATACCTAAGGAACAACGTAAAAATATTTTTACCATTTTTAAAATACAGGGTGTTCAAGAAACTGGGGGTCATGGGTTCGAATCTCAGAGTTTTCAAATGTAAACATATGTCATGTTATGCATAATTTTAAAGCTCTAGACTAGACAAACAATTTAGTGAAAACAGAACTCGTTTATCTTTGTCCGTTTCAAAATGGCGGCCATTTTTATAGAAAATATTGATACTTATAGAATACCCTGTATCTTGACAACCTCTAAACTTATTTTCGTTCTGTTTGAAAATTCTTAATCCTCGTAGTTTCAGCTTTAATTTGATATACGACAAGTCAACATTTAAAAAACTAAATATTTTTTCTATGATTTTAATTTTTTTTTTAAGTTGGTAGCCTTGTAAATGAAGATTTTTAAATGGCAACATATGTAAAATTGTGTATCATTTTTAAGGTCTTGTAAAAACAAACAACTTTTAAATTTAAACCTACCGTCTATCTTTGGTCGTTTTCTAGTAATTAATCAAAAACTCCAATTGCCCATATAAAACCCATGTTAAACGTGCAGTACTGAAGATTGGTGGATGCAGATACACTATTCTCATGATACTGTGCATTTAACATGGGTTTTATATGGGCAATTGGAGTTTTGGGTTAATTAATAGAAAACGACCAAAGATAGGCGGTAGGTTTAAATTTAAAAATTGTTTGTTTTTACAAGACCTTAAAAATTATACACAATTTTACATATGTTGCCATTTAAAAATTTTCATTTACAAGGCTACCAACTTAAAAAAAATTAAAATCATAGAAAAAATATTTTGTTTTTAAAATATTGACTTGTCGTATATCAAATTAAAGCTGAACCTACGAGGATTAAGAATTTTCAAACAGAACGAAAATAAGTTTAGTGGTTGTCGAGCTACAGGGTATTCTGTAAGTATCAACATTTTCTATAAAAATGGCCGCCATTTTGAAACGGAAAAAGATAAATGAGTTCTGTTTTCACTAAATTGTTTGTCTAATCTAGAGCTTTAAAATGATGCATAACATGACATAATTTTACATTTGAAAACTCTGAGAATCAAACCCATGACCCCCAGTTTCTTGAACACCCTGTATTTTAAAAATGGTAAAAATATTTTTATGTTGTTCCTTGGGTATGAATTAAGGCCAGTTTTGCCAGAAGCATCTCGTGCGTCTGACGCTCAGCGTCCATTGCTCCGCGTCAATCGCTGCACACTGCTTTGCATTGTTTTAGGTTAGTCTATTTTGCCAGAAGCGTCTGTAACTGAGACGCTAGCGTCTGACGCGGACCACTGCTCCTGGAGCAGACGGAGACGCAGTCGCTAGCGATTATTACTGGAATAAGCACGTGTTTAGTTGTTGACTTAACTTTTGTTTCCTTAAATAAGTTGTGTTTTCAAGTTTAGTGACATGTCACAAACAAAGTGGGGGTTCAATAGTGAAGAAGATGAAAACCCGATTGAAGACATTTCAGCACACGACTGTTAAGTCAATTGTTAATTGATTTTCAATTAACAATTTAAGATATCCCTCTTCAGGCCTCTTTAAAAACATAGTACGCACTTCTTCCCTAGGTTTGCACAACATATCTAATATCTCATCATCGTCTAATTCCTCAGCTAACAAATACTTTACTATTTACTTTTTACAGGTCATTTTCAGAAACACTCCTTTTGCCACCAAAGTAAACCACTTACTGATCAAATAATCGCAAGGAACAGATGCCTCTGGCAAAATAGGCCCGAGCGATAGACGCTGAGCGATTATCGCTCTAGCGATCATCGCTGAGCGTCGGACGCATCAGACGCTTCTGGCAAAACGGGCCTTTAGTGGGGAAAAGGTTTGTTTCATCTCTGTATGTCAAGCCGTTCGTCTGTAATCTGTTTAGGACAGCTTAGGAGATTCACCCTGTAGAGAATAAGCTATTACCGTAATACTCATGGTAAGACCTGGACCCGGGACCAATCTACTATTTTGTTTTGAGGTCCCTAGAGGCCAAAAACACCATCCGTTCAAATTCATATATATATATATATATATATATATATATATATATATATATAGGTATACCGAGTATTTATATGTATCCGTTAGCGCGATAACTCTAACAAAAGTCATCCAATTTTGATTAAATTTTGTATAAACCTACGTTTATTCAAACAAGTTTGCGAACCAGCATGATCGGACTATGGTAACAGGGGTTTATGGGGGGGGGGGGGGGGGTTTATGGAGTAAAAATTGGTTTTTCCCATTTTTGACCCTAAAAACATAAAATTTAGCAACTTCCTTCTAAACCATTTTGTAGAGCTTAAAGAAATATAATTTAGTATATTGATATAATTTATTATTCGCCTAATGGCTACGGAGAAAATTAAAAAAAAAATGTTAAATTAAAATTCCCACGTTATTCTTATGGAAAAAATTGTAGACTGTTGTAGTTTGCTTGTTTATGAGCATATTTTGATCAAATTTTGAAAATGCATTCATTTCATACTTAACTATTAATATTTTACAAAAAAAAACACCTTTTTACCCTCCCTGTTGCAGCAAACCTAAGTACTCGTTTAACTAATGCTATTTAAATAAGGAATAAATGTGATATTTTTAAGGAGACATTTTGATTTAAATCCAATCAGGCAAATGGAAATTCGCTTAGTCTGCAGGTTTGCTGCGGCGGGGGTATTTTATTAGTTATTACAGTTTGTTTACTTATTTTTAAATGCTCATGGGTTTGAATCATTTTACGCCTGGATAAAGCATATTTTTACTTTTGTCTCCCTAGATTTGTTACTTAGACTATTTCCTTTTAAGCCATAGCTAACTGTTGTTTTAGGGCATTGTACCTTTATTTATGCCTTTATTTATTTGTGCCTAATAATTATGTAGGTGTTTATTTATGTCACGTGATTTACATTTTGACTACGTCTGATACATCATTTTATAAATTTGGGCACAGTTTCTCATTTTATTTTGTAGCTATCAACGATTATATTTAGAAAACACCGTCCTTTGTATGGAATTATTTGAACTGAAATGCTTTTATATAAAACTAGCTGTTGTACCCGTGCTTCGCAACGGAAAAGACACTGAAGCGAAAAAATTTGATCTTGAATTCTGTTGTATAAAGTAGTTACACATTCCCCTTTGGTTTCAGGAACATAACTCAATTGAAACTCTTAGTTTGACAAAAATCTTTCTTTAAGGCTCTAACTTATAAGACTACCTGGTACGAATTATATGAGGCGCTGATGCATTTATGGAAATAATGTACCCATATGATTCAATTTTCAAATGATAAGCTTTCTTAAACATTTATTTCGTTCATAAACGTACATATAAAGTAAATAAGGAAAAATAATCGCACAACATAAAGCACTGTAGTAAAGCAAAATACCCCCGCCGCAGCAAACCTGCAGACTAAGCGAATTTCCATTTGCCTGATTGGATTTACACTAAAATGTCTCCTTAAAAATATCACATTTATTCCCTATTTAAATAGAATCAGTTTAACGCGTACTTAGGTTTGCTGCAACAGGGAGGGTAAAAGTGTTTTTTTTTATGTAAAATGTTAATAGTTTAGTAAGAAATAAAAACATTTTCCAAATTTGGGCAAAATATGTTAATAAAAAAGCAAACTACAACAGTTTACTTATTCTCCATAAGAATAACATGAGAATTTTAAATATACAATTTTTTTGAATTTTCTCCGTAACCATTAGGCGCATTATGACGCTTCAATATACTAAATTATTTGTTTTTTTAAGCTCTACAAAATAGTTTGGAAAGAAATTGCAAAATTTTATGTTTTTGGGTCAAAAATGGGAAAACCCCATTTTAACCCCATAAAACACCCCATAAACCCCCGTTCCCATGGTCCGATCATGCTGGATCGCGAACTCGTTCGAATAAACGTAGGTTTACACGTTTGTACCAAATTTCATCAAAATCGGATCATTTTTGCTCGAGTTATCGCGCTAACGGACACATCTTCTATACTATTATAAAGAAGAGGTGGTGTCTGTGTGTTTGTATGAGATAATCTCAAAAACTACTGAACCGACTGGGCTCAAATTGCACACAAATGAAGCTACAGGTCCGAGGATACATATAGAACTATTCCCGAATTCGATATTGTCCTAGGGCTCTGCCCCGTGGGCTTTCAAAAATTTGAGGTGAGAGATTTAAAAGTAAATATTGATTGATGGTATCCATGGTAACAAAGAACAAACCTACAAAGTTTAAAAATGTAAACAAGCAGAACTAACTGTCAAATCACTGAGCTAAAATTATAACTGGAGGTAGCACTGCCATGGCAGAAGTCTGTCGAAAGCGTGTCGCTGATTTTGTTAGGTTGGTATAGCAGCGAGTTTTCTTATCATAGCAATAACATTGCTTCTATAACTAGGTTGGTATAGCAGTGAGTTTTTTTATCCAATAACATGGCTTCTTTATAACTCACACCTCACGCAAACATGGCGGCTGGCGACACGCATCTTTGACATTCAGTGCTACCTCCAGTTAGAATTATAGCTCAGTGTGTCAAATCTATATATTAATTTGAACTCTTTGTCATAGCTATTTTGAGAGAACGGCTGGGCGTAGAAACTCAGTAGAGGCATAGATAAAACATTATGTTTTATCTATGGTAGAGGTGTCTAAAGAAAGGTCTTGGTCTATAGATGAGCCATCAAAAGAAACACGTGGTTAATTCACATCAAATCAAATCAAATCATTTATTCATCAATTCCCTTGGGGCTCTGCCCCAGTGGCCTTTG